CCCCCGAGTTTGATTGTAAAACCCCAGGTTTGTTTTACTGTCAAGAGCCAGCTCCGGCTAGAATTACATGTCAAGTGCCGGATGCTGCGGCCGCGGCTGTCAAGCGTGGGGCAGCCAAATCCGAGTCCTCTCGCGCCACGTGCCCATTGGCAAGTTGTTGTGCAGTCTCTCTGTCCAAGAGGCTTGTTCTGTTTCATGGTCTGTTCTCTCTCCCCCCATCTGCTCTCAGATGTTTGCTGCCGAGGAGAATGTAGATTTTCGGATACATGTGGAGAACCAGACGCGAGCAAGGGACGACGTGAGCAGGAAGCAGCTTCGGCTCTATCAGCTCTACAGCAGGACAAGTGGGAAACACATCCAGGTGCTTGGCAGGAGGATCAGTGCCAAAGGAGAAGATGGAGATAAATATGGTAAGAATTTTTACTGGGATCCCCCAGAGTCCAGGTCAACGGCTTTAATTCTGTATGTTGGGCTGAGAACCTCTTGGGAGAAAAATAAGAAGAGCAATAAAGAACAGGATAAAAGGGAAGAAAACCTTTCCAGGTTAAGATTTGTTGTGTTGGAGCAGGCTGTCAGCCTGGATCCCAGCTGCAGGCAGTTCCCACAGTAGTGTCATACCCCAATTTATTAGCGTATGATGGGGCTTGAAGAGAAAAATCTTTTTCTGTCCAACAGATGAGCTCACAGTGTGTTTACTGTAATTCATAAATGATACCCAGGTTGGTGACTGGGGATGTTCTTTCCCCATGAACTCTGGGCTGGAGTTTGGGTGAATCCACTCTCATCTTTCTAGGAGGGAGGGATATTTGGTTTAAACTGAAATTGCAGACTTTGGAGCTTTGAGAGTACCTCAGAGTTTAAGTTCAATCTTTGGATGTGTGGATCCTGCAGAAATGCAAATCACTGAACTGCCCCTGGGCTAGCAGCATGTTCAACTATTCTCATTGTGATTTGTACACAAGCAACATGCTAGAAATGATGCTAACATGCTGAATTATGAAAAAACTCTGTAATTCTGGAACATTTTGAGGTGGTTGTGCAGAGATACTTCCGCTCAAGTTGGTTGCTGGAAGGATTTTAAGGCCGTTTGGAGAACTGGTCCTTTTTCTCTTGTGGAGGTACAGCCCTGTGCGTTCATGTGTTGTAGCAGAGGTGCATTGTGTATGCATCGACTAGCATGCACGTTCATATGAGGTTGACTTCACGTGTGGCACTGGTGAGGTGGAGGTGGGCAACGATGATGCCGGGTCAAAATTGAGAAAGGGTCGTTCCTTCTAGGAGCTTCAGGCAGGGTGAGGCACAGGCCATGCCCTGCACAGAGGGCATCTCCTGCCCGTGCCAGTGCAGGTGGAGGAGCAGGGTGAGCTGTGCTGTGGGAGATGACAACTAGAAAGCACCTGGCTGGTGTGACATGAACCGCCAGGGCTGTTGTGTGTGTAGAGTCACCCAGTCTTTCAGAGAAAGCCCTGCCCTGAGATCTCATCAACCTTGTCCTTTGTCATTCCCAAATTTCCAGATAAAACAGGAGTGGAAAGTGCCACTTGGCTGCTAATTATTGTGTCATTTTATTGCATTCATCCTCTGAAGGTTTGATATGTAAACTAGTTGCTGTGCCCTAGCTGCTGGCTTCCCAGGAAACACTCTAGCCCGCAGTGACTGTCAGGTAACATGATGCAGTTTTTCTCTCCATAAAAGAAGGCAGCATTTACAGTGGGGTGCAGCAGGGAAGTGTGCCCGTGAGCAGCTGACAAGTGCTAATTTATGTGTCAAAGCCCATCTTGTCCCCTTCATACATATGCAATCGTGTCTGAACAACAAATCCTTGCGCAGGAGTGTGCCCGTGACCGGTGGCGATGCTGCACAATTGCAGAGCCTGAGATTTCCCATCTGGGAGCTCCCTGGTGCCTGCGCTGCTGCTCACCACCAAATCCTCACCACTCCTGTCTGCTGGTCTCCTTCTGACAGCCCAGAGTGCTCCGATCATGGAGGCCATTTGGTGACACCCCAGCCTGCTCCCTCCCCCACGCTTCCTAATAAAACTCCTTGATGCGTCAAGCTGCAAAGCCTTCCCATCCCTCGCCGTGCTGAAAGGTTATGGAAATCTGTTCATCATCTTGCTTGGCACGGGAACACTTAGAGCATGATAATCGGGGAGACAGTGAGGTGGGACATGGAGGTCCAGGATGTGACCACGCAGAGCTCCTAGCTGTGATAATGAAGGGGGGTGAGATGTCAGAGTTACTGAAGTGAGAACCATCTGTGTTACAGCCAAAACTGGATACAAAGGCAATGACACAGGATTCATTATGTGCTGGGAACCCCTCCTCCCGAGGCATTATTATGGAGTAACCTTTGATCAAGACCAGAGAGAGGCTTAAACCAGGTCTGGGGATCTCAACAGTTGCAAACTTTTGATCCCCATCTCTGTCTTGCGGCTCAGATCTGCCTCTGAAGGAGGACACCTTTCCTCTCGTGCAGCAGATGGCTTTTTTTTTTCTCCTGCTCTTTTTCTCTTTTTTACTGCCTCTGTGCTGGTGCGGTTAATCAGAGCCAGGCTTAGCACTGGGGACTGCCCAGCTCGTTTCTTGGCTACATCGGTCTTGCAGAGGGTGCAGTCTCCCACAGCTTCTCCACTGTCTTAACCCTGTCCCCACTGACAGGGGAGATGATGGTGAAGGGGATGTGGATCCATGTCCTGAGGGTTACAGCCCGGGGAAGGCTTTAGGAGGATGAGCAAGAGCTCCTGTCTGAGAAGAGGCAAGAGACATGGGAGAAGGTGCCTGTGAGCTGGCTCCAGCCCTGAATTATTCTGACTCAGTCCCATTAAGAGAAGGTAACATTAGGCAAGGACAAGGCAGACTCAGTCTTAATGTGGGAAACTGTCCAGCGGAGGTTGTGGCCAAGGTCCATAGTGTTCATCACCAGCAATTAGCACTAGCCAGTTTTAAGGATGGAGGAGCTAATAATGTTTTAGCACCTCTTTCCCCTCTCCTCCCATACATTCACAAACTGGTTAAAGAACAGTGTCCAAGTGAAGAGATGCCTTTTTTTTTTTTTCCCTTTTTCTTTTTTTCCACATATACAGCTTACAAATGGCTGTCGTGGGAGGGTTGTCATGCCTTTGAAGGTAGGTTAGTTTTATTGCAAAGTTTTATTGACTTCTGTAAAACTTCTCACCTCTTGGTTGAAGAGAATGTCCAGAGAAGAGGGGAAGTAGCAGATTCAGGCAGGGAATTGCTCGTTTCCAGACAGCCACCATGAGTACAGCAAAATGACCAGCCAGCCCTGGTTCAGGGAGAGAAGTTACTGCAGGGCTAGGGCAATATGGTCCCAGGAAGACCCCTTGAATGTCTTATCCGCGTCTGCAAACGCTATGTCCAAGGAAAAATGCATGCTCTGCAATGCATAGTTTTGCTGGCATAATAATTCTGGTATGTAATTTTTGGTTTATGTGTTCTTTGGGGCCAAGATCTGGCCCCATGTGTCGAATTATTAAATGGCAAATTAAATCAGTTAATAGAATTAATTGAGTCGATGTAATCCTTTTAATCAGATGGATTTGATCCCTTCTCAGATGAATTAGAATCCATTAACAGATAAGTCAATTATTGGACTAAATTAAATCTAATAATAATGCCTGCTGCTCGCAGCAACACTAATTAATCTAAATACACTTACCTATCTCCCAAGGTTGTGTTTTGTTTTTTTTTTTTTTAAGACTTAATTGATGTTCCTAAAGTGCTCTGAGATCTTTAGATAACAGAAGATCTATGTGAGCAAAATATTATCTCTTAACAGACTATAATTAAAAGACTGATCTATTTACAGATTGCATTTTTACTTTAATCTCTTCAACCTATTCAGGAGTTCGCACTGGCCCAGAAAAACAATATTCCTGTTATAAGCTTATTATTACTTTACAGGTTCCTAAGTGGTCCTTTCATTAAGAAAATGAAAGGGGGAAGGAGAAAAAACAACCATTAAAGTGCTGACAAAAAAAAGAAAAGGACCTGGAACCTTTATATTCTACCTCCGATAAATGGTACAGATAGGGAAGAGAGGGATCAGTGACCTGAAACCTTAGATCCTTTCATTTATTTTCATTTCACAAAAGGCAGAAGACATTCTATCCTGTTTGTTCACGATCTTTGTATCCGGCGCAGTTGGGGAGACAGAGCTCTCTTGGTTGGGTGAAGGCATTTTTTGCCTAATTTGTATTTCACAGCCATGTGACTTTTGTTTTAATTTGTCCCTGGCTACTGCTGTCCTGCCGGTTGATGAGAAGTGATAGCCATCGGGAGAGGTGAGGGGGATGTGAGAGGTCTTTAGGCTTTCCTGTTCTGTGGAGGTAACTTATTTGCAGCAAGAGCTTGGGTGTCCTGAAGGCGGGGATGCGGCATATGTAGGTAGATTATTAGCATGTTCTGCGTGCTATCAAGTGGTATTTTGTCCATTGACCTAGTCTATCACAGTTTAAAAAACTTCTTGGGTCCCCTAGAAGGTTAAAAACCATCTATTTTATAAACCTCTAGTCTACAGCATGGGAGGCTTTGTTTGAGGACACCCCATACAAGGGGCAGTGCACAGGTATGGCATCTCTCCTTCTCAGCATCCCATCGCTGCCAGCGTTTTCAGCCACCCTGAGCCAGTGAAGTCCTCTCAAAGACTCCGGCTGAGTTCATTATGTTTTATCTCAGGACTCAAGAGATGCTCCTGAGACAGGAGGTTTGGGGAGGTTAACAAAACATGGGTTTGCTAGCAAGGTGTCGACAAATACGGCATCAGGCAGACCAAGGAGGGAAGCAAATTCAAGAGCTGGTGTGCACGCATGCATAGGATGACAGGCATTACCTCCACGTGTCATGGGCATTCTTGGTGCAGAACACTGTGCCTTATACAGATGGTGCTTTTTTGGGTGATATGGGAAAGCAAGGTGCTCGGGGGGACGGGTGCCTCCTTCCTGGGGCCACCCCAGCCTGGGTGATGTGCTCCAGAGTTTGCAGTCCCCGCCTTCTGTTCTGGCTGGAGCTTCCCAGAGATGCCAGTGGACAAGCCCATGGAGAGCACATTACAGCTGTCTAGACATCAGCCACACTCCATCCCGCCAGAGATTTCATTTGTGGTAGAAGCGGGCTCTGTTCCATGAGGAGGTGTAATATGTGTGGAAAATATTATTATAGCAAAATAGCCTCCTTTAATTGACTCTAAATTTTGCAGGATTCCTTCCTAGGTTTGGGTAATCCTGCACTCTCCAGAATTAATGAGCTGACATAGCATTTCTTCGGGTTTGGCAGCCTGACAGCTAATTTAGAACTCCCTAAACTCATTTCACTAATGACTCCCATTTGTTCTATCTCAAAGCCTGGAAACAAATGCAAAATACCAGTGCCATTGTCCCATCTTTAGCAAG